AGGGATGTTTAGGGTTTACGGTTTAGGGTTTAGCTATGGCTGAGGAAGTGACGGTGCCCCGGGTGGTGATCTTTCGCGATGCGATCGTTGACCTCTTCGACATGGAGTTGGGCCCCCGCTTCAACAGCAAAGCCAGAGGTGGCATCGCTGCTGTTATGAACTACGTCGGTGGAGCCTTCATCTACATTCGCCCGTCGCTTAGCACTGCCTGGCTCATCGCAAGAGACTTTTCTGGAGCATGCGGTGTGATTCCGTTGCTGGCCTGCGCAGGCAGAGAATATGCCGGGCGAATTAAGATCATTGCGTCGAGCTGGAAAACCGCCAACAACAAGGCCGCAGAGATATATCACACACCCTGGAATCCGCTAAGAGCCTCACCCCTTCCTTCCAGCCTGAAAAAAACACGGAGGCCGCAGACATCCAGGCGCTCCAGCGCGCAGCATCGCCTGACAGCGACGACCCGGGGCCCGGAGATGAGGTGGAGAAGGAGCGACCAGGCAAGGGCCAAAGGGCCTTTTGGCCAACCGGACACCCCTTGAGGGTCTTTCAGAGCCTGAACTGTGGCAGGTGAGGCTGCGGCACCGCAAGAAGAGGGCGCAGCCGAGCCAGGGAAAGAGGGGGGCAACGCCGTGCCCGGCGTGCGTGCGAGTGACGGCCTCGGTCCTTGGGGACTGAGCGAGAGCGAGAGAGCGAGGGAAGAGCGAGGGAGGAGGGGAGGGGGGTTGCTCCCCTTTCCTCTAGCCTGGTGAAAGAAAGAGGGAGACGCGGCTCGGAGAAGGAGGATTAGAAGTCTGCGAGAGACAGGGACACAGACAGACAGAGAGACAGCTTCAAGCACAGCCTTTCTGCCTCCCCAAGCTCAGGTGGTGAGGCCGCACGGATGCTGGCTTGCACATAGAGTATCATAGAGTAAGGCAAGTCCACCTCCTAGACAAAAGGTGGCGACAGTGCATCGGGTACTGCGCTCCTGAGGATCCAGACGAACGTGCAAGTGCTGGCGGCTTAAATCTGACAGTATCCAAGAGCGTGAAGGCATTCGCATTGTTTCAAGGCCGAAGACATTCAACGAGATGTTCCTTTTCAACAGTGCTGTGATGGGCTTCGGGAACAGCTTGTGGATGCATCTGGTCCTCGAGCAGTGGCGTGATGGCAAATGGTCCAGTTGGTGTAACAAGCTCTCACCGTCGCAGACGTGACAAATAGGACAGCGCCAAGAGGGTAGGTACACGACCGAGGATTATGGTAGAATTCAGATTCAATGTGGATTTAAATGAAATCCTGCCTCATCCCATGGAGGAGACATCGGCTGAAGCATCAGATACATGGTAGCTGTTCTGGATGAAAGGCCGGCTGGCGAGGGCGCTGGCAGGATGCCTCACGACCACAAGCACTGTTGTGACGTGATGCCCTCCATTCTGACTGGGAGACAAAAGCATCATCTCACTCGAAACAGCACAGCGTTTTCAACAACTTATGTACCAAGCCAGGTGAGGAACCAGAAGGCCCTGAGGATGGCTTCCTTGTAGTTTTTTAGAGGCAAGATGCGAAGTGGCAGCAGTGGAACCAGCTACATACCGTGCATCCGCTGTCTCAGGTTTGACAACATGGTCAGCAACGTCGCAAACTCTTACCGGATTCAGGCAACATGATGCGGGGTCGCAGCCTGCAAGCCCTCCGACAAGTTTAGCGCCTGGATGTCAGGAAGAGTGTGATGTGCTCTCTCTGGTCCTCGCGCAGTACGAGGCCTGATCCTTGAAAGCCAAAAACAGCTTCGGAGTCTTCGTAGGATGCGCCCGAACCGGCAGGGGCCGATCATCTTGATGGAGTTCAAAGCAGTGATGCTGGCATCTCTGCGCTCCCTCGTCCCTAAGGCGTCTTGGGGTGATTGCTGCACGAGAGCACAGAGCCACTCAGCCCTGTGAGGATTGGGACTCCGCGCACGAAGTTGCATGGAACTGGTTCTGGGAGAACGTGGATTGCTGCCCGGGTTGGTCCGTTTCCGCCTTGCTCCTCCCACCCTGTCATTGCTAAGGAACACATGCTGAAGGCACTCATGGGAAAGCCCGCCGCGCAGCAGCACGCGTGAGGATCCCAGCTGCGTCGTGGACTGCTAGTGCAACGTCATATCGTGGGCGCCGTCATCCGTGATGCCAGGTTGGACCAATTCATCCTGGGTCTCAACCAGGAGCATTCGTATTCTTTTGCAGGGAAGTGGCGGTGATTTTTTCTGCATCAAGTCTAAACCGGGATCTGGCCCGACGGCTCAAGCAAGTTTACTCGAAGCACTCAAGACAGCAAGTCCACGGTTCCTTTTGGTTCGGTTCGTAACGAACCCAACCTTTTTATGAACCGGATGTGGTTCATGACGGTTCTGGTCGTGCGGTTCGGTTCGGCCTCTTGACAAGAGCAAAGTTTAGTTGAGGGTCAATTCCAGACCTGCTGCGAAGATGAATTCCACACGGTAGAACGTCGCATTGGCTGTAATCTTCATGCTGGCCGTTCGTGATGTCTCTGCTTCAAGACATGGTGTCAATACAGCTCAGATGGTCTCTTCGGTCGCCAACAGTGTGGAGCAGAGCAGCAAGTTCCACGATTCTGATGCTGACGTTCATGAGGGTGGGTCCTTCTCCCTCCAGACGATGTTGGCGAATGGGAAAGAGCACCGCTTGTGGGTTTAGGCCTAACGTGGACAAACGCCACAATCACCTTCAGTTACGTCGGGGGTGATAGCGTGAGGGCAGGAAGGGCAGGGCAGGGAAGGGTGGGCAGGCAAACACGGCTTTTGCTGAAAAAAGCTTTGAGCAATCCTGATGCCGAAGGTGCAATGCAAGCGTGGAACCTACTCCGCAAAGCCCTAAACCCTAAACCCCGTTGCCACAGTGGACAGTGTCTTCGCCCCGAGGAGCAGCTCACCTTCCTGAGGCGCGACATCTACAAGAGGTCCCGGGCTCGGGATCTGGCTCGGTGTGTTCGGTGTGAGTAGGGGGTTAGCCCTTTTTGTAGCCCGACCAGAGCCTCTGTTTTATAGTAGCCAGTGTCGTCTTAACGGAATCCTACACCAATAAACGTAAAAGCCCTAAACATCCAAACTTTACGCCCTAAACCTTTAACCCTAAACCCTAAACCCTAAACCCAGACTTTAAGCCCTAAACCTGTAAAGGAAGCCGAAAATTTTCTATGAGTGGATCCGAGGTTTTTCACCCTCGCACCGGCCGGGCAGGAGCCACGTCCTGCCAGTGAGTGCAGAGCCTCTGTATAGGGCAGCATAAGGGGTTTCTACAAGAGTTTCTAAACGGGGGTTACTGTAAGGGTGTGTTTCTGAGATTTAGAGCTTTAGTGTTGTTTTGGGGTTTAGAGAGATGCTTTTGAAGCGCAGGACTACTTCAAGCAGTCGACTACCAGGCTCTACTGGATTGCAGACAAGGTTGTGGAGCCAACCTCAGTGTTCAGAAAGCGCTCACTTTGACATCATGCGAGCGCGCGACATCCGGGTGCCGCCTGTTCTCATGTCGGCCAGATGCTGTCGCAGTGTTCTGGTAAGGAGATGACCACTGAGATGTTCAAGGATCCAAAGCGGCTGGTGGAGGATCTCGTGGTAGCCAGCTGTGTCTGCGAGGGTCTTCTATCCCCAGATGTGGGATGTCCCGAGGACATCTCCGCGCTGGGTTTGCGCCACGTCGGCTACGGCATTCCCACCGAGTTCTTCGCCCCTTTCGTGCCCGGGAGCCCAGCTCAATGCCCCGGAAGCGTTTGGGTTTCCGTCTGTTCTGCCTCCAGGTCTGCTGCAGTGGATGCCGTGAAGACCATGGAGGCTCAGGCAAGCAGCGGATGACGTCAGATGCAAAGTATAATAATATAATATAACATATTATAATATAATATAATATAATGTAATGCAATATAATATTCCCTGAACCTCCGCCTCTAGGAGCTTGCGCAAGATGCCTTTCGATGGTCCCTGACCCTCGTGTCCAAGATACTGGCCACTCGGTACTCGTGGCAGAGTCGCACAGCTCCAACATCAATGGTCCATCCCAAAACTGTTCCTCTCAATGCCGTTGCAGTGGCAGTGTCCCCGAGCAGACAGGGTGGTTAGACACCCATGCTCGACACGAATGCCTGCTTCGAAGCAGCGAGGTCCGAACAATCTTGGAAGGCTCTACGATTGTCATGAAGGCGCGGAGACGTTCTTTACTCTGCACTTCTCTGCTTGTTTGCTTGAGTCCTGTCCAGTCAGGCCATCAACACCAACGACGCCAAGCAGTTGCGCAAGGCCATCTCGGTCGCTCCCCGAGGAAAGCGTCTGAGGCTCAGAGGCGCCGTATGGCAGCTCCTAACGGCCTCGAAGTTCGTTTTGAGGGCGCTGGAGAGATTTTTTGAGGCGCCCAGGAGCTGCTGAACATCACGGTCGGCACAAAGTCCATCTCGCCGCTGATTTGGTCCATCGAGAGCGGCAGCCTTGTCACCGCCAAGGCGATGCTAGAGGAGCCGGGATGCCACAGTCTTCAATGCGGCAAGTGACCAAGTGCCACAAGTCTGGTGCAGGATTTGCTTGTGATCCGGGCGGACCGTGACAACTATTACTTCGGCGGCCAGTCTTCGATATGCAAGCTAGGTGTCACAGGTGATTCCGCTGAAGCCAAGAAGCCAAGGCTGTGACCACTTGTTTGAGCGCCATCCGGAAATCATCCAGCGTTTAAGCTTCGATGCTCCGCAGCTACTGCCCACGCTGCTGGATGGTCTGATCTGGCGTTCGCGGACAACCATCAACGGCCAGAGAAGAGCCCCCCTGCCGCACCAGCAAGTGAGCCATCAGTCCATGAAGCCGCAAGCCTTAAACCCCACAGCTGAGAAGCACTTGAGAAGCCGAGCCGGACACCAGGTGAACTACTACGTCAAGCACCTGATACAAGATGAGGAAGGTCACTTCAACCAAGCCCTGGCGTGGATCGTCGAAGGCACCCTCACCGGTAGTGCTGGGCACAGATGGATGTGCGGCCGGTTTTGGGTTTTGGTTAAAATTGGTAAGTGCCGAAGATGCAAAGCGCCCGACGTGCAGGACATGATCCGAAAATCATCTGCCACGACGTGGTGGTGCTCTTCTCGGATCTGCTTTGGTCCGGCTTGGCCGGCCAGACCTTCTTGCTGGGCAGGCTTGGGCCGACTTGAAGGTTGATTTTTTTTTTTGGTTTATGCGGGGACCGATCGAGTTCAGCGGAAGTGAAGGACGGCGAGTCTTCCGACTCGGAGGGTCGTTGTTTCGTGCAGTTGACCGTGTTTCAGTACTATGCGTTTGCCTTTCTTTTGCTTGCAGGTGCTACTTTCTCTTTACTCTCGCGGTCTTCATCACGGGGCAGTCGATTCTGCAGCAGCTGCGAGAGGACCCGGCGAATCAGACTGATGCGTCTCGCCGGCATCTGCTTTCGTCCTTCACATGCGACACAGTTTCTGACTCCATTCTGACTGGCCACTGCCTTCTTTTAGGGGGTTTAGGGGTTTAGTGTTTAGGGTTTAGGGTGATAAAGCTCCTGTTTCGTGCAGCAGGTGGAACGTGGAGTAGCCTGCCTGCTCTTGCCCAGGGAGAGCGGATCGCCATTTTCGCGTGCCGCATCACCATCTATGTCTTCAGCATGGGTGCCCTTCTAGTCAGCCAGATCCGATGTTGCTTTGTCGCACTAGCCTGCCAACTGCCTGCATACAGAAACGTTGACGATTCGTCGTGGACTGTTTTCCGACCTGCTTTTTTTCGATTTTGAGGCCTCATTTCGGACATCCGTTCCCGCAACCTGGTCAAACTGCACCTCGGTGCAAGAACAGCTGCAGGTGTTCGTGATGGGGCTTCGGTGTCCCAGAAGGCTCGTGCTTTTCACTCTGAAGGGCTACGGGAGGTGGTAGCTCAGATGCACTCTCAGGCCAAAATCAAGATTTAGGGTAGCATACCCTTTGTCGGAAGCTTTTCGTTCCATCTCTTGTTTCAGATGAGGTTTGGCATCATACCGTTCCCGCAGTTTTTGACCAACACCATGCAGATCGGCAACCTGGCGCTCATGCTGTGTCTGCTGGTGATGTGCACGCAGGCGACGGCTCTTGCTCCGGACTTCTGAGTTTTGCAGAATACGGCAGTGATGGTGGTCGCGGTAGTGGTGGTGAGATTGGTGATCGTCGTTGTCACGGTCGTCCTGGCGGTGATCGTGTTGGTGTTTGTCGTCGTCGCTGTTCTAGTTGTCATCAAGTCTTTTCAGTATGGGATCGTTGTCGGTACTTTGACTTTGACGGATGTCTTTTCCCCAGCAAGACCTCGGCAATCGTCAGCACTCGGCACTCGGTAAAGCTCGTGAGCCCTCAGTAGGGAATGATGGGACGTTGGCACGGGGCCACGCGAAGATTCATCATCATCTCCGTCGGGCCTCTTTTGGCAGATGGGGCCTCGCCCACAAACTCTGTTGGGCCTTGAATTTGGCAAGCCCACGCCGACAGGCAAAGCTTTCTTTCTGAGCTGCAGGAGCCAATTTTCCACTGCCTGGGCAGTGCCGAAGAGACCTTCAAGGCAGAGTGGTTTAGGGTTTAGGGTTTTCTTGCCAGCCCAAAGAAACATTCACAGGACCTCCTCTTCCACCAGCACTGCCAAGCGGGCGAGCTGCGAAAGGAGACCTACGCAACTATCTCCATGGTCACCGGGTTTGCAGTCATAACGAGACATTGGAGAGCATGCTGGCGGCTGCCAGTGGTGACTTGCTTCTCTTGGCTGTACTGTGTTGGTTTACATATCATTGCTTAAGGTCGCCATGCTGCTGTACTGGGCACTGTTGCTGGACTTGACAATTTTCTCAATGCGAATCTCTGCACCTCAGACCTGCAAGAGCATGAACCGCTGAGCTTGCAAGCTGACAGCACGGTGAAGTTGTCATGCCTGCAAAACAGGCATTCACGCTGGTTTGTGGCAGGGTGCTTAGTGAGCTGGGCCTTTTCTTGAGCCTCATGGCAGCACCGAGCCACAGAATTCCATCGGGAGCTTCGCAAAAAGCGCCTCTCTCAACTGACTTCTTCTCCCATGCTCATCCCAGCCAAGGCTCCTTAGTCTTCTTGATCGTCACCTTTGCCAGCTCGATAGCTGCATTGAACCATAGCTGCGAAGACTTCATCGACATTCCCGTCGGTGCGCTCTCTTTGATGGTGCTATCCTCAGAGCTCCAAAGGCTTTTCGTCCTTGGTCTTAGCCTGATTTGATGTATCTGCCTGTGGTCCCTTAGGAGATCTCCTTGGGAATGTTCCCAAGCCAGAACTTCCAGGCCATCCAAGATGACATCTCGGTGCTCTTGACGGTGAGCCTCTTCATTATCGTTGTCATTGTACCTTGGCCCCCACTATTTTTCCCACTGGTGTGCACGGCTACCTCTTTCGCCTTTTTTGAGTGTCGGCGAAAGTCAGGTTTTCCTCTTGAACCTCTTGGTGGCGCAGCTCAATGGCGCATATGCCAGTGTCTACGACGACATGGTGGGCTATGCACGTCTGACGCGCGGCAGCATCATCGTCCGAGCCTGAGCATACAGTCGCTGTTGCTGCTAACGCGGTGCTCTCGTGGCTGCAACTGCTCTTTGTGCTGTTGTTGATTGTGGGGTTGACGTATGCTCTCGCGAAATGGCTCCTAAACCCAAACCCCTAAACCCTTAACAAAAAAACCCTAAAACCTAAACCCTAAACCCTAAGCCCCTAAACCCTAAACCCTAAACCCTATAAACCGTGCCTTCTGCTGTGCAGATTCTCGAGCTAGACTCCAGCAGACGGAAAAAGGCCCTCAAAAAAAAAAAACCCTATAAACCCGAATCCCTAAACCCTGTGATTCGTTTCCTTCAGGTCACCGCCCTGGAAGCGGTCTCGGCAAAGCGCTGGGAGCGGTTCCTCTCTTCGCTCGGCTTCGAGGCGGCTTAACCTAAGCTGGGTTCTTGTCAAGGGATTTTGTTTAAGTTGCCATAATGGGGATCCATAATGAATATTAATATTATGGTTTCTTTATTATGGAAACTAAACCCCTTAACAAGAACCCGGTAAGCCCTCGTGTACTGTACCAGAAGAACAGGCCCGAGCAATAAAATGGCCCTAGCAGTGACTGCCAAGCAGAAGAGGAACAACAAAAACGCCTGAAGACAACAGGTGATTCTGCTAATAACCGTCTTCAGATGTATCATTTCCTCTCCTCCTCATCCTCCTCCTCTCTTCCTCATCGTCGTCATCATCGCCATCATCGTCCTCTTGCTCATCCTCATTCCCACATTCTTCCTTGTTGCTCACCAGAGCAGTCTTGACTCCGGCCGTCGCCCTCATGCTCCATCCTCTTTCCCTCCCTCCTCCTCCTGCTCCTCGTCGCCATCGTCGCAGTGTTGCCAACGAAAACTGGATGGGCCGAGACTTTAGCTTTGGCTGCAGGAGCGCCTCGAATTCAACGAGGGCGATGTAGGTCTTGCTGGCGGCATTCAAGCAGCTTGGCTGTTCCCTTCGGCGAGACGTCTTTGGCGGCAAGTACTGGGGAGAGTTTCTGTGAGCCGCAGGACAGCGTGAAACTTAAGCCCGGGGTGCGGGGGGCCCGCTCAGAGTATATTTCCTTGAACCTTCAACATCGATGGAGGCCAAGGGCAGGAAAGGAACGGGGAGAGGAGTCACTCCCCTTGCCAGCTACGGGGACGATAATCATGATATCTTCATCAACGCCACATCGATTCGGGGAACAAGCATCTCCAGATGAAGCCAGGGTGTCCACAAGGAGGTCGAATAGTGCACATGCCCCTGAATTGGTCTTTGGAGCCTGCCAGTCGTGTCATAAGAAAGCCCAATACCTCAGGTGCTGCTAGTAGTAGCAGTTTGAGTGTAGCAGAGGTAAGGCTGTGAGTGAGTGACTAGATGAGAAGAAGAAGAGGGAGCCTGCAACTGATTGGACTTCGCATGGATGGAGCAGAGGTCACGGAACCTGCCAATGAGCACCCGACTACAGCATCTGGGCACGACAAGAGCATCACTTTTCCGCTTAATGATTCACTCACATTAAAACTCCTAACCCCGAAATCCGACACCCCAAAGTGTAGGAAACCCCCCTCCCGAGTTCGGCGTCCCTTCGCCGCAGCCAAAGCCACCTGGACCCTAGTATCGAACAGGGCGGTATGAGGTCAATCATCATCAATAGCTATGAAGCATATGAGCACGACAATCGTCATGCATGGTGCTATTTGAGGCGATTACCATACTTGCTCTCACAATCAGAACCATGATTCTCTTCATCGGGGTGAGCACTATAATATGCTCTTCAGGATGATGCGCCGTCTCATCCTCAAGCCCCTGACCCCTAAATCCAAAACCCTAAACCCTGTCCTCTATTTCCATGATCTGTGGATTCTGACGACGGGGACTGCTAGGTGGAAAAAGATGTTAACAAAAAAAGAACCCTAAACCCTAAACCCCTAAACCCTAAATCCAAAACCCTGAACCTTAAACCCCCCAGGTGGAGAACATCCGCCGTTTCGGCGGCTCCACATCGCCAGCCATGCCCTGGCCCGAAGAGCTTCATACCGATGAGGCCGAGGACGGAGATGCCTCCGCTAGGGATCTGAATCCTTTTAGGGTTTTGGGATTTAGGGCTTTGGGGGTGGGGTGTTTAGAGGGGGTTGGTTCGGGGGGGGGGGTTGTGGAATTCAGGGTGTTAAGTCCTGCGTGAGCCGGTTTGGCTAGGTTTAGGATTTCGTCGGGCTGCCCCACGCTGGTTTCTTTGTTGACATAGTGAGCCTTTTGTTACCTGAGGTCGGTCACAGGGAATCCTATCTTCCCCAGATGCTCCAACATGGATTGGGGTTTAGTTAGGGGAGGATGCAGGGCCTTAGTAAGGGTGGTTTTCTGGATCGGGGGTGGGGGGCTGTTGGGGGTGGTTGGGGTCGAGGAGTCTGCCTTTCGGAAATAGAGTTTAGGATCCACGTTTTCTGCGGTGTCGCATTGTGCAAGCATAAGACTTCATTCTTTCAAGTTGCCGGTGCCAAGTTCCCGCAGGAGCACGTATTATATACATACATACATACATACATACATACATACATACATACATGTATATGTGTGTGTGGCACACGTGCATAAAAGGACACCCGTACATACGTATGCGACACAGCTACATGTGCGCATATGCTCATGTATACCTGTGTATGTGTGTACATACATACATACATACATACATACATACATACATCCATGCATGCATACATACATACATACATACATACATACATACAGATAAATACTTACATGCGTGTGTATATATGTATGCATAATTATACATGTATATATATATACATACATACACTTGCATGTATGAATGAATGAATGAATGAATGAATGTATGAGCGTTTGAGTGTATAAATATATGACTGCATGAAGGTATGCATGTGCACGCACACACATATAGCTGCCTGCATGCTGAATCGCATAGCAAGCATCAGCAGTGCCCAGGACAAGCTAGATCGGCTTGAGAAGGTCATCCTCCGAGCCACCAAGACTCCCAGCTTTGCGCTTCTGTTGGGGCTTCATATCTTCGAAGGTTGGTGTGTCTGGTGGCAAACCTCTTTCGAGGCTTGTTAGTTGAGGCGGGTCCGTTGAGTTGTGTTACACATCTGGGTTGATGTTGAAAGCTGCGGTTCTTGTTTTTTCTTCTGCTTAGACTCTGCATGACCTAAGGAAGATCACCAGCCGAAGCAAGAAGAATGGAGCTGGGGGTTCTGGTGCGGGAAGCTCTTCCCTGAGCTCGATGACGCCTGCTCGCACTTGGCAGAGGGGGTGCATCATGTCAACCAGCACGGATACGAGACCCAGCATCAGCGTCCTCCTAGCGTCGTGGTTTGCTGTTCTGCAGACGTTGCTGTGTTTAAGTATACCGTTATCGGATTATCACTGATGTTGTCATGAACTAGCATTGCTGCACGATTGAAGACCAGGAGCACAGCAGGAGCACAGCAGCGCAGTGGACTGCTGTTAGTGATGGGTCCAAGGTCAGATTCAAGCGCCGGCGGAGGCTCCTCGGAGTGAAAGGATCCGAGGGTCGGAGCAATGTACAAAGCGCTGGAATTGGGCTAAGCCGCACCGCGCTTGCTAAGTGTAGTCGAGTTTGTCACCACTGGCTTCCAACGCCCAATTTCTGTCAGAAGAAGCGCCTAGCCATAAAGGGGAGGCAGCTCTCATGTGCATGTTGTTTGTCTTTTCTTTGGCCAGCATTCAGACAGGCCCCTCTGCCGAAACTGTATGTGCTTTGCTGCGGAAAAGCAGACGAGCCTCACTGGCCCCAAGACGAGGTCCGTGTGGCCTCATGTCAGATACTTGGATGTTCCAAGGTGGCAGTATTTTGTCGTTGCCGCCTCTGTTCCAGGCGCTAAGCGCTGCGCACAGTATACGCTGGCAGAATGCTGCTTGAACATGGTACGTAGCAGCAGGTGCAAGAGTCAGTCATGGAGGCTATACTCTCATCTCAGATGCAATGCTTCCAGCTGTTCTTCTAGATGCCTTGGAAGCGCTTTCGGCGGTGGGCTTTAGGCCTACAGATGTAGCCTGGTTCCACTGCTGAGTCCTCACAGCAACCGTCAACCGGCAAGCGATCCTGGCACCAAACCCGGAGAAGAGCCTCATTAAATACTATACTATCAATATATTTATTAACAAATAATATAAAAAATAAACTTGAGCTCGTCCATCCACCGGTTCGATGGGTTCAGATTTTCGCTTTAAAAGGAGCGGTCTCCTCACCAGGAGCTGTAGCAGGCACCGTGCACAATGCAGCGCTGCCTGTGCAGAATCCCTGAGTCAGTGTCGTCTGGGCTGCGGCGAAGTGACTTCAGCAGGTGGTGCTCCGATGCTAGCACTGCCTGCCGCTCTACATTTGACCTCACAGTGAGTGCGCTTTGGGTGAGCAAAGAGCCTGCATGTCTCAGACAAAAAGCCGAATGCTTCTTCGAGCTTCCTTTACACGCCGTGCTGCATGGAGGCCAAGTTGGGTCATTGGCCTTGGTATCTCTGGCTGGCTCTAGATGGAGGTTCCTCGAAGATACCTGTTCCGTCACCTAGACGACCCAACAGCTGTTTTTGGCTCGAGCCAGGCCCAGATCAAGATCTTACGGCGCTCCTGTTTCATGGGACATACTTTCAGAACTGCTGCGCGAAGTCTCGTAGATAAAATGGCTATCAGCGTTACACTTTGCTGCTCCCTTCTGTCCTGTTGCAGCATACCCTATCCCTGTTCATCACGGTGCATGGGTTAAGCTGCCCTTCTGAAGAGAGTCTCTACCAGCTGGAGGAGGTGTAGGCTCCATCTTATCATCGCCGGTTTTCAAGGCTTGCTTCATGAAGCCTGAAATGGGGAGATAACCGCCATGCCACTGTCCTGGCGTTTGCCACCTGTCCGATGAGGGATCGTCTGGGGCATCATGCACACAGCTAATCTTTGTGCCTGCGAAAGTCGAGATCGCAAGGTTTGTGTAAAAGACTTTCTTGAGGCGCTTGGCCGTGTTGGCTGCGCTTCGCATCACTGCACGGGCGGCCGCTTCACCTGCTCTCCGCGTGCTGTGCCCAGATGCCTCGTACTATCTTATGTTGTATGCTTGTATGTATCTTAGCAGAACCAAGAGCTTCTCTGCTACTGTTCTTGCTCTTGATGCCTTGATGGGGAAGGCAACTGCACGCCAAGCTACCGCCGATGGATCTTCACAGGCAAGTTGCCATCACCCAGTTCGAAGCGAAAGACCCCAGCCATGACAGTGCATGGAGTCTTTAGGCTCGTGTTGAGAATGCGACGTTGAAGCCACATCGCAGGCCGACTTCCTCAAGATCTTGCGCCGAAAGACTGCAACGCGGGAGCAGGCAGCAACACGGACGGTGAATGAAGCTTCATGAGCTCCCGGCGATGGACAGTCTGCCATTCGCCTGGGACTTTCCTTTTTCTGCTGTAGTTTCACGGCGCTCCCTTTGGCATGTAATGTTGGAGGCCGCAGCTGCTGTGGAAGGACTTCGCGCCGGCGGGTACTTGGGCAGGGAACCTCAGAGTGGGAAGGAATTGTGGATGGGCAATCACTGACTGTGGTTTCAACTCCCCGTTCTGGACTACAGTAAATCGCACAGCCTTCACGTTTCCTTCGAGGCGGCGTGCGCGGCTACTCCTCTGCAATTGTGGCCTCCAGAAGAGGCCTGGCGGGCCCCAAGAATTTTCTCAGAGCTTCAAAGCCGGAAGCCCACACGTTGGAGCTTCGCTCCACCGCTGCCTTCGCTCAGGGCGCAAGTGGGAGCTCGCGATCCACCTCTTTGATGAGATGCTGGAGCCACTACCCCGGAAGTAGACGATCTGAGCTTTGGCGAGCTGTAGGCTGGTGTCCAAGACGATGCAGTGCGTTGTCAAACGAGACAATAGCAGTAGATGTGTCAGTTGTTTCTCTATCTGCATCTGGAGGTTGCTCACGCGTCACATCGCATCTGCCACTGTCACAGTCGCCGACAGTCTGTCTGTCTGTCTGTCTGTCTGTCTGTCTGTCTGGAAAACATCTTTCCCTCTCTATATGTATAAGTATCTGTGTGAATAACATAAAAATATATAAGTGGTCAAAAAAAGATATTTGTATATGTTTGTATATATAACAAACAAATGCGAGAGAAAGAGAGCCGGGAGAGAGAGACAGGGATCCCGGTCTGCGACCTGTCTGAGGCAGGGCTTACGGCCCAGCGCCTCGGCTTTCACAGCCGCTGCCGAGGCCTGCCAGGAAGGCCTCGGGGGTGGATTTCGGGCTTAGGGCCGAGGGCTCGAGGCATAGGATTTAGGGTTTTGAGGGTTTAGGGTTTAGGTCTGATTAGGGATAGGGTTTAGGGTTTAGGGGGTTTAGGGCTTATGTCATCTTTACAGTCTTTGTCGTGGTACTCGTGTTGTGAAGGACGACACTACAAGGCGTACGTGCCTTGCGCGGCCACCGGCCGGCAAGCACATGAGGAAGCAACGAGAAGCCGTTTGCATCGTAATTTGCAGCTTTTTCGGGCCTGACAAAGCTAGAGCGTTTTCAGAGTGTGGATTTTGAAAGCTACTCTCGGGTCTGGCAACAGAAAAGAGTCGGAATCTGAATGCTGGAAAATGTTCTTCCTATGTACTTACCCAACATGGTTGGCAATTGACAGCAAAGACTAAACACCAGTACCAATGCTACTGCCACTACGAATGCTGGTACTAACACTCCTACCAACACTAACGCGAACGTTAACACTAAGACTGGCTTGTACTAATGCTAATGCTAGTAGTAATGCTCATGCTACACCTAGCCCTAATCCTAATCCTAAATCTATTGCTATTACAAACCCAAATCCAAATCCAATTCTAACGCTAATGCTAATGCAAACGCTAATGCCGACGCTAATGCTAGTTTAAGACTAATACTAATACTGGCACTGGTGCTAATTCTTAAGCAATACTCATACTCATAAATGCGAACACTCTTACTGATACTTAGTACCAATCTCAATGCATAAGTAGGAATGCCAATGCTAGTGCTAATACTAATAATTATACGAACAAAATTAATACTAATGCCTATAATACCAATGTTCATACCTATTTCTACTGCTGCTACTGCTGCCGCTGCTGCTGCTACTACTACTACTACTACTACGACGACGACGACGACGACGACTACTGCTACCACCACTATGGCGACGACGACTAGTACTACTACTGCTACTACTAGTGCTGCTGCTGCTGCTGCTACTACTACGACTACTACGACTACTACGACTACTACTACTACTACTACTACTACTACTACTACTACTTGATATTGACTTCGAGCAGCTACTGCGTAGCCGAGACACAGCCCAGGAGACAGGCG